TAAAATTTTAACTAATAACATTGTCCATCATATAGAAGATTGTATATATTAAAAATAAAAGAGTGTTATATTATTTGTTGCTTGGAATTTTGTGAAATGAATCAAAAGATGAATTTTTCATCAATGAAGATTTAACTCCAGTCATAAATCAGGATTATATAGTAGGATGATAAAAATCCAAAAGTAAAATGGAAAATAGCTTTATATTGGGAATATTAATAGAAGCCTCAGCAAAGACATCGACATATCCTATTATTATAGAATGTACTTTTCTATATGAGATGACCTTTGGTAATAATAATTCTAAAATATGAATATTTTAAACGAAGATTACATCATGAATATCTCTTTTTGCATTTTATCTATTAAAACTACTATTCAATATCATTTTGAAGTAATGCCAATAAACACATCAATAACTGTATCATAATATCTTGGATACATAGATCTTTTTAATAGTTTTACAGTGTCGTGATGTGATAATATCAAATCAAAATTACTACACTCTTATAAAGACATGGAACATATAATATAACTTTACCTGAAGTTAATAAAAATTAAATGCGGTGATTTAATATCAATCAACTTAATCTCGCTTGATTTATTTGACAGTTTCCTGCTAAATTAAAGTGTTTCAGTTATTTCAAATTTTCTCATCAATTTCATCATAACTAGATTTAATTGAAATTCATTAATTCAAATTATACTTCAATACAAAAGATTTTTTGAACAACTTTTGCGATGGAATATAAATTAATTCGTTGAAACATTTTGACATAATTCAAGTCACTTCTGTCATTGAGAGCCATATTTCCATCTTCTTAACCATGGTTTTCAAACTTTCTTATTCACTGATTACTATTCAAGTAGGTTTTTTACCTATAAAAAATCTTTAAGCATTATAAAATGAATTTAAATGTTATACTTACTTGTTATGATACTTGGAAAAAAATTTTAAACTTTTATTTTAATGAAAGTATGTTCATAAAGTCTATTGTAACGTAAAACTATTTTAAGTAATGAGTTTACTACATTATGAAGTAAATTCAACATATTATAATGCTGATAATAGAACTTCTTTATGATCATTTTATTTATATATGAAATGTTAATGCCATATTGATTTTATTCAAATAACGTTCATATCAAACCAAGTCCAAAAGTGGATTGGAAGGACAAAGAATGATAAAAGGACTCAGAAGAAAGAATATCAAGACCAATAAGAAAACTAGGTGAAAGGAAATTATCATATAAACCATAAAGTTTTGTCACCATATATAGTTACTTTTGATATTCTTCAAGTTACGTATTACTTGTTTTGTACCTCTACATTGCTATAAACTTTGCTATAATATTTAAATAAGAATTATTTATGCTTTAATACAGAAGTTTAATGTGCGTGTATAAAACTGCGATCATTAATTAGAAAAAGTTATACCTAGAGTGTAAAGAATAAAGGTATTGTATGTAGGTGGTGTGTTCCAAGTTGTCCAAGTTGGTCTAGTTAATGAAGTTTTCTTTTTGAAGTAGAACGTAATATACCAGTGATACAAACTTCAATTGATGGTTGGGTGAAATGGGCAAAAATTTTCAAACTTTTTGCTACAATTTTGAAGTATAATTTATTATGATAATTATGGTAGTTAATATTTTTTCAAAAAAAGTTTGGAATTGAACTTATTCATGAGTGAGATGTACAGTAATGCTCGTCATTGTTTGTAGAACTGGTCAGAAGCTTGGATTAGGTGGCAATAAAGCAAGTACTCAGTGCACAGAATTAGAAATGATTAATAACTGAGAGCTTTTACTCGACTTACATAAAGTTAAATTGATGAGAAGTAGTTGAATTTATGAAAAAGGTCATTTACTTCAATAAAAAGTATTTTCATCATTCATTCGAACAATAAAACTCTGTTGAATAGAAGATATACATGTAAAAAAGATCATGTTATTAAAAGTTCTCATTAGATAGACCATTTATAGCTCATTATTGAATATTAGAAATGAAGTTAAAAGTATTAAGAAATATTTCAAATTTTATGATACAAGTATGTCCTAAATGCAAAACCTCATACCTATTAAGAAGCTAGATTACATTTTCGAAAATTTTCATTAAACTTTAGTAAATAATTCAAAACTTGTGGATTATACTAGTGTGTTGTAACAATAAATTATAAACTTAATTCTTGCACAACAACTATAATCATGATAATTATTGTTCATATAATTATTAGGGTGAAAACAAATTACAATACTACTAAAGTGTCTACATTAGTGTTCGAGTTAATTAAGAAGAAATACTGAAGAAAAAAATAAGTAAAAAAATGAGAAGCTAATAAAAATACTCATTATATTAAATGAAAAAATTTCTAATAAAAAACATTCTTTGAAGTAAATATTTTTATCTTATATCTCATGCTCTTGGGAATTGATAAAGAGTTTTTTTTTTCATTAAAATAATTAATTGGACTTATTAAACTATTGCTTCTATTTAATTACATTCAATTATTTTACTTTGTGTATAATTAATAATGAAAAATAAAATTCTTTTCATTTAAGTAATGTTTTAAAAATAAGTTCATTTAAATATTGTTTCATAATTAAATAAAGTAAAATATGACAAGATAAATATTTTATATAAAAAAAAAAGGAACTTGACAGTAATAAAAATAAACAATGTAATTCAGCAAAGAAATAACTTTCATGTTAAATTAGATATTCATCTAATGTTTGTTTTATTTATTATGTCATCTCGATAGTATTAAGCATTTGTATACTTTCTAAAGAGTTAAATTATAAATTGAGTACTAATCACAATATATCTCTGTTGTAATTTTTTTAATGTCTAAAACGATTGAGAGATCTGTTGAAAAATTAATTACAATCTATAAATAAAACTATTGATGCATATTGAATATTTTTATAACAAATAAACTTGTAAGAGAAACTTTTAATTAACAGTCCATCAGTTTTCTCGTATTTTCAATAAACTAGATACAATAATCACATGATGGTGAATTTAAAAATCATTATTGATCATACATTATTCTTGAAAGTTCAAAAAAATGGCATAAACGTATGAAAATACTTGGATTTTATAGTTTTATAAATGGAAATAACAAAATTCAAAAAAGTAAATTGACAAATGAAGAATAATGTTTACGATCATGAGAAAATATGATGAGAAAAAGATCTAGAATGAGGGGGTAGCATAGTCCACTTGCTGTATATCTTGCACTCCTATCCTCCTACTCGATTCGATTAATGGCTCTATAAATTGCAGCTTTATGTTGACAGTCTAACTGAGTTATAAAATTGTAACCTAATACCCTCTCTACAAAGTACAGGACATGATTAATTATTTAAAATGAAAGTTTCTCTAGTTAAATTTATCTTTTGATGAATTTTCAAACTTTTCATCATTCTAAATCATACAAAGTAAGACAATGTCATTAAAAAAATTTTTACATCTCTTTAGAATATGATAATTACATTGAACTTGAATAGAAAATAATTATATTAAACTTAAAAAGATGACAGTTATATATAAAAAAAAGTAAATTTTATTTATAAAAAGAGAGAAAATATGAAATATTAACAGTGTGGATGTATGTAAATACAAACAAACTAATGTATTTTTATCGTTCCACATATAGAAAGCAATGTTGATAAAAATGTTGACATATATCTGGAAAATTAAACATATCATGTACAGTGACTACTAACACAAATATGTACTTGGGGTTATTTCTGGAGAAAAGAGTTAATTGAAATCATTATAATTTAATATTTGAACTATTATAAGACGATAGCAATTCCACTTCAATATTATACTGACGATAGATTCAAGCGCAGACTCAACAACATCTGATAGAGCACGAATCAATTAATTAATTACACGTATTTCAACCACATTTTCTCTTCACTGAATAATTGCTCTTGTCTAATGGGTTATTGTTGTTGGCAAATAGAAGAGAAAAATCCAATTTTGTAAAATATACCAAACAAAAAATACTTGAACAATAATACCATGATTATAGATAAATTCAAGATTCATTGGTTTGGAAAACAAAGTGGTAGTTTAAAAATTATTCTGAGAATACTAAATATGATAATGGAAAACTGGAGATTAATTCAATTAAATTCCAACTTTATTTCTTAAATTACTTTTAATTGTTTCTAATAAATTTATAGAGATTTTTTTCTTTTTATTTCATTGAAAATTAATATAAAATTTTCTTTAAAAAGAAATTTTTTTAAAATAAATTTCCTTCAATCTAGAGCATGGAGAGCTTAATAGAAATAGAATGGGATTGAAAATAAAATAATAATTGGAATTTAAAAAATTAAATATACCTTTTTTAGTCATCATGAAAATAATTTTTTTTTCCAATCATTGAATCTATCCTTCATTGCTGTGTATCAATATAAATCGTGAGTTCACACTATCGAAAAATTTAATCGTTTTTCTTATCTACACCTTGAAATAATCACTTGGTTAAATGTTAAAAGAAAGTAGGTTATCGAGTATTCGTTTGTAAAATTCGACAAATCGAAGAATTCCATTGATGTATGAAAAAGAATGCATTTTCAATTTCTCTGATCACAAGAGCATTAAAGCCATTAAGCTTGTAAGTAAGAAGAATAAAAATAAAAAAATCTACTCAAAGTATTAATTAAAGAATATCAGTAAATCAGAGATCATACTATAACTTTTGGTCTGTGTCCACTATTTTTCTTTGTCTTTTAGTTCAAGTTGCAACTTAGTTTACTCCTTTTTTCTTTGTTTGTTGACCATCTTCATCTTCTTCTTCTTCTTAGTATATATTCTTTCAACACACCTGAATTTTTTGTGTACATTCTTCTTCATATTTCACTCCTTTACTTTACTTTTCACTTTACTCAATCACTCCGTGGCCTTATTTTTACTTTACTTTTTCTTGAAAATTTCATAAAACTGTGACATATTTATTTAATCATCCTTATTTTGTTTGTTTCAGTCACTGAGAAAGAAATTCGACAGTGGTAAGTCCATTCTCATATTAAAAAGTAATGCTCTTGATCTATTTATTTCATCAGCACTTTTTGAGTCATGTATATATTAAAATAAATAGAAATACATATTCGAAGCAGAAAGAATTATGAATTTAACCAACAACACCTTATTAGCACTCCTTTTTGAATTATACAACAAATTCAACTTCAAAAGAATTAAAACCAATTTTATATCTGTTGTTTTGAATTCTAGAAAGTCCAAATCCACCAACATATTCTGATTAAGTTTGTTGCATAGAAGTTGTATGAATCAGATTATACTGACCATCTGCTTCATCGAGAATATGATCTATTATCATAACTCATATAATACAATATTACTGGATCTGTAACAGACAAAAGCAAATTTAATAACACACAAATGTATTTCTGATATCACAATGTAATAAAAATATATTTAATTATTCACACTATACCTTTTAGCATTGAAGTAATCAATTCTCGTTCGAATCCAAAAGCTATCCATTTAACTTAATGATAAAGAACCTTTTGAGAATATTGAAATACAGCATTACTTGGTGGTAAATTAGTGAGTCGAGTTTGTGTTATTTATTTACGAGCAATAACGGTGCTACATGCTAAAAAGGTAGTTGTTGAACATGATCAAAATGACATTAATGACAGTTCTGTCAATATGCACCATACATTTGATTTTACGATAATGAAAACTGGTGTATATCATTTTCAAAATATCCAATATTCAAATACATCTAAACAAATGGTAGATGCTATGAAAAATAAATTATTAATTTTTATGAAATACTTTGTTGTGATATTCACTAGTTGTATGTAGATAATTAATATTCAGTCAACTGATATTGACCTTTAAATAAATTTTGTCTTGTAATAAAATTCTTTAAAATATATTTAGTATTAGAATAAAAATAATTCTCATCACTTAAGAAATATTTATTTTCTGTTTGGGTTATTTTATTTAATTCATTTGCTTTTATTGGTTTATTTAAAATTGTATGTTTAAGAAAATTCGTTTGAGACTTTGAATGATCAATAAAACAATTTTCCAGGCATAAAGGATTCCTCAAGGATTGCCCTGATGGACTTTTAACAGAACAGGTACACTTTTTATCGTATTCAATAGATGTGCATCAGCCATTTGTTGAGTGATAAAAATGTCTTTACTTTGCTTTTCACTTTTTCCAGGGATTTATCAAGATCTACAAGCAGTTTTTTCCACAAGGCGACCCATCGAAATTCGCGTCACTTGTATTCAGAGTTTTCGATGAAAATAACGTAAGAAAACTTTCCTCTCTATAATACTCTTTATCTCTTCAATTAATTTTTTCCTACTAACATTTTACTTCTAAATTCTTTTATCTTTTTTTCATTCAATTTATAGCTTTATTCTACTTGATTCCACTTCTTTTTTTGTCATTATTATTTTTTTCTCTTGTTGCAGGACGGTACAATAGAATTTGAAGAATTTATCAGAGCACTATCTGTCACGTCTCGAGGAAATCTCGACGAGAAACTGCATTGTAAGTGCATCTATATTTTCTCTTAGTTTGCATTATTCAGATAGGATGATTTTGATGACAGAATGAGCAAAAATGAGGAATGAAAAAATTCCATGAAAAGTCAATTATTTCAATTTTCAATTCACTTAACGTAGTTGCAATGAACACAAAGCAAACAGTAAATAAGCTTGTTTCCAGTTAATTAAAAAAATTTGTTGCATAGAAAAATGATGTGGTGATAAATTAATACAGTTTGCTGTGCTTTTACATGCCAATAAAAAACTATGAATTGTCGTTTGAATCTTTAATTATGTGAAAAAATTTCATTCCATATTTTTTCATGGTCACATCAATTAAATGACTATTTAGATTTTGAAAAAAAAAATACTTTTTCCAGCTATCTAAAATAACCATCCAGTATTGCAACAATAAATAAGATAATTCCTACAACTTATCAATTCTTTCAGTGTAATAATGAACTTATTCTTAAACGTTCACTTTCGTTCTTCTTTCATCTTGAATTATATATTTAACATAAATTTTAAAAAACATTCTAAACCACTTGTTGATGTTTCGTTTAATATAAAAATAATATTTTAAACGCTAAAGATTTGTAAAGAATAAAACTGATATTATTTAAACTGTTTTAAAGGTAATGTAATGTAATTATTAAATATTACAGGGGCTTTTCGATTGTATGATGTCGATAATGATGGCTTCATCACACGCGATGAAATGTATAATATTGTAGATGCGATATATCAGATGGTGGTGAGTTTTAACTTGGCTTTTTCACGTTCAATTTTTATTTTATTTCATTTTATACTTTACTCTAAATTATTTCTATTTCCTGGTTTGAATTGCACATAAACCGACGTCGAGGTAATAAATAGTGGTCTAGAGGTAACGTTGGAATTTAAAGCACGTGTGTGGGATACACTTATTTTACTGTAAACGTGTTAAAAAATGGAATTTTAGAATACAACCGCAAATAAGTGTGTAGAATGCAGAGAAAAATTTTAAAACAAACGTTTGTGTGCTTTATTGACTTAACATTTTTTATCGATTTAAATTTGTATATTTTAATAAACTATAAAATCGAATATTTAAATTGTTTTATAAATAATATTAAAGCATATATTTTTTTTATAAAATGTAAATTTATATATTCTAGAAAAATCTAAAGGGAAAATTAAATTTTTTTTAGACAGAACAGATTTGGTTATTTTTTTGTCTCCAATTAATACAAAATAGACTGAGAAAAATTTTAATTTTAGCAGAGAAATTCAATTAAATAAAATATTCTTTTATTCTAGAAATTTTTTACCAAGATTTTTTTTTTACTTAATACAATTTTTTTGTTATCAAAAATTTTTTTATTTTTTCTTTTCATAAGTACACGGTTATACATGCCGGATTTTATTATTGCTGTTAAATGAAAAAAAGAAGGTACATTCTTTTATGAATCTAATATCTTTGTTATTAAATAACAAATTTATTGCGTTTCTATCAAATAAATTTTCTTCTTAAAAAAAACTATCAGCAAAATAAAATTCATATCTAAATCATGAATTAAATTGAATGCACATTATTTATAAGATGCAAGCATAAAGCTTTCACATAGTCAAACAACTCAGACACAGAATCTTGATAATTTATGTGAATGTGTATGAAGTTAGATTACGAGCCAAGGTACACATTCCCTAGAAGTACTGATACGACATAATGTTCAGATGTGAATTCAAGCATAGACTAGATCTTACTGAAAGCGGATTATACATTAACTAAAGACACGAACAACTAAATTTATTCCTAAGAGATTAATTTGCCTATATTTATTTATTCATTTATTCATAAACGATAAAGATGTCATACTTTTTTTAAATACCCTTTAATTTTTATTTACCGCCATTTTTCAAGATGATAATTTTCCATTGTTATAATATTTTATTTAGGGTCAACAACCGCATGCGGAAGATGAAAACACCCCCCAGAAACGAGTGGATAAAATATTTGATCAAATGGATAAAAACCACGATGACAAACTCACCCTTGAGGAGTTTCGGGAGGGTAGCAAAGCCGATCCAAGGATTGTCCAAGCTTTATCACTTGGTGGAGGAGTAGAACAAACACAACAACAACCGCAACAACAACAATAAATCATACAAAAACAAATAAACTCATATTTAATAAAAATTATTGTCACACGTACAATTAATAGTTTTCTGTTAAAAAGAAGATTTATCAAAAAAAAAAAAGACAAGTCTTGCACTCACTAAGTATTTATTTACATTTTTTTTATTCATCAAAGAGAAACAAAATAAAAGATAATTAATTATTTATTTACAACAACTGACTTATTTTTATTTTTTTTATTTTTTCAAACACACATATTACGTCAAATGCTCAACAATTACCACAAAAACATACCAACAAAAGGACTATAGCCAGGAAGATGATAATAAGTATCCTTTTAAAAAGGTTTACTGGAAGATAGCCAAAGGATCGCCGTTGGTTTAGATGCTTTAAAAGAGAGGTGACATCACTTTGGGTAACCCTAGCACGTATTCGCTCGAGAGATCTGCAAAACCCTCGGTTAAAAACGGAAATAAGCAGAAAGGTTACAGCTATAAAAAAGTTGAAAAGGAAAAAAAAAGCAAAAAAATAAAAAAAAATAGGTAAAAATGAGTGAGGACGATTATCAACGATTGTTGCCTAATATAAAATTCTACATGGTCGACCTACATAGATATATATCAACAGTGTCTAGCCGAGAGACTAAATAAAGAAAAAAAAATCATCAAATGGAAAAGAGTTTTAAAAGATTTTTTCACGGCTACGCTGTGATCAAGTTATTGAAAAACTCAGTTATCATATAGAAAGAATAAGTAATTTTTTAGATAAAAAATAAAACAATGGCTTGAAATAAAAGAGTCATTCTATTGGAAATATATCTAAGTATTTTTACGGAGAAAATCATTCTTTCTTTCATGTAATCAAATAATTGTTTATATGAATTTTAACAAACAATAGAAAATATTTAATTTCCATCCAGATTTATTTTTTAAAATTTATTATTTATCTGAATGATACACTAGAAAAAATTTATAGTTTTAGAAACGATCTGAAGTATTGTTACAGATGGATCGCTGTTAGAGCAACACTGTCAACATCATTGAAGCTATAGAAACCAAGATAATCTCGAAAAACCGCTTTTTCGTCACACCCGTGCGGAAAGTTCACTTTTCCATGAGAGAGGAATTGAACTTTTTCCACAAGTATGACGAAAAATAAAATTATCAGCCGTAGGGAAGACAATTAAACACGTGGTTTGAGCTAGTCTATTTTTCCTCCCTAGGGGTGAAATCTACTATTTCAGATATCGTCAATCAATTATCTAGATAATCTCTACAGCTATCTAATGAGATAGTTAACTTAAGAAGTACGGTATTGTTCCTATAACTATAAATTTTTGTTCAGTGTATTAATAACTATTTTTTTTATTACATTTGCATTCCAAAAGTAGTTGTTAGACACATGTTTTTTGATCGGTAGACGATAAAGTTATAACGGTTTCTCGAAGTTATACGATACAGAACTATATTTCAAAGTAATATTTGATAAAAGTTGAACCATTTTAAAGAAATAAATCAATATTTTCCATTATTCTTTGTTTCAAGAGTCGATCGTTGAGAAAACTTATACATTATTTATCAAAAAATTGGTTTAGCAAAAGTTACTAAATATTTATCACTATTTAGAATATTTTTTTTTTTCTCATGCATGTTATTTATTAATATTGCTACTGGTGTTTGTCATGTACCGTCCATCAAACATGCATCGAAAACTACATTTTTGATGCACTTGTAAATAATAATATTATTTCTCTGTTCATAATTGATTGGAATTGATCATGATTATTTGATGTTTAAGATTACTTGTTTGATTGATTAAATAAGTAAAAATCGATTTCACATACCACGATCGGGGTTTCAATTTCCCCTCATTTTTCATGTAAAATCATTTTACAGCGCACAAGATAAAAAACAAACTTAGGATAATATTTAATATCTAATGTTTAATGTTAAATATTTTTGTGAAATATTATGACGTTGATTGTATGATGACTGATACGTAATAAGAAATTGTTACATTTTTTATCAGAAATGTGTAGTGAACGTTTATCGAAAGCTCGTAATTAAAATTGAAAATTAAAATTTTTGAAAAATAAAAAAAAAAAAATTAATAAATTAAATAATATTATTTTTTCTTTAAAATTACTTTTTCAATGATTGTAATTACTCATTTTAATGAGATGCGCTGGTGATGATGAATAGACTTGACGTGGTATTTTGAAAGACGAAATTACGTATTACTCTTTTTCAATAGTATAGTAATAGGTTCGACAAATTTCCGATATCGGCAAATCTCTTTTTGACCTTCTCTCCATACAATATATCACTACTCTTTTGCCTCTCTTTCAATACTATCAAAAGATATTTAGTGAAAAATTTTTGGCTTTATTCTTTGATCTATTTTATCATTAATGAAAATGAAAATTTAATGGAGTATAAAATAATAAATCATAGAGAATTACAAAGAAAGATTGGTAAACTAACAATTAACATGTGAAAACCCGAGCAGAACAACTTCATTTAAATTTAAATTAAAGGACTCATCTGAAATCTGTAATTCTGTAAATATATTCAGTACATTTAGTTTCCAGCTCGGTACGTAAAGTTTAAATAAAAAATTAAATTCAACCAATTACTGAGAGTTGTACTCTGTGACAGCCAGATATCAAAAAAATAATTTATGCTAATTGCTTTGAAAGATGACAACTAGTGAAAAAAATTTTTTTTAAATCTATTTTATTTTGGAAATTAATTAATATTTTATTTGAAGCTTATTTATTTCAAAAGATGAAATATTCTGATGAGAAAAAAATTTATTGTGAACGAGTAATATTTTTTATTACTACAAGTATTTAAAATTTTTTTATTAATTAAATTAATTTCTCAGTGTAGTGACAAAAATTTTTTAAAGTCTATTTCATTTCTAAATATACTTTATATCTTATCTTATATATTTTATCTTTAATAATTAATATTTTTTCTATAAACTGCATCATTCACTTTTATTTACTATAATAAATCTTCTAGATTCTGCAAGCTTTTTTTTTTAAATTGCTGCAATTTAACTGTAAAAATAATTAATTTGTTTGAATAATTTAATTAATTGTAAGAAAGCAATAATATTTATAATATTCAAGAATAAGTTAAAAAGATGAAAGTCTTAGAAAAATATAAAAAGAAATTAAAATAAATAACAAAGAAAAAGGTAATTGTAACTAAAGTAAGATTGATCTTACTATGAAATAAGTATTGTTGCTTGACCACAAAAAAAAACATTTACAAAATAAAAATGAATGTTTGATTATGGGGTTTAATAAATGAATTCAAACTGATGGTAAGTTCATCAGTTTCAATGTTCTCAATCTCAATTTCGCTTGAAAGGGTGAGAACAGAAAGCAATAAAATATATAACTGAGAAGTTGTTACTTCCCTTCATGTCTCTTCCTCTTTGTCTTATTATTTCTCTGGAGTTTCAAGATTACTACATGATTGAAAGCCCTCTAACATTCTCGTTTTCAAATTTCATCTCCTCGAGGCTCAACAAATATGTACTTGCATTCAATACCATAAAAATCTTTTATGTAAAAGATTTCTATTTCATATCTATGTCATGCATACACATCAATACTGAACGTGACAATTTTGATTTACTCCAGCCAGAAGAGAATATAGACAAAGAGAAAAATAGAAACATGAAATATTGACGTGATTAATACAAGAAATATATTATCAACAATTGAAAAAGATAAATTTAAAATAAAATAATAAATTATTTTAATTACATTTAACCATTTTTACAACTTTCTGATAAAATAATGTTATCATAAAAATTTACAAAAAAAAAAAAAAAAATTATTGAAATTAACATTTTTGCAAATATAACGTTGAGCTTTAGAATATGCTTTCTATGTAAAGTGTTAATATTAATCATTAAGATAGACTTTCTTAATTATTAATTGCTAGTATAAATTATTAATTACCCCTCAGTAGGATTCTATTATCAACAAAAAAAAAAGTAAATAAAAAATCTCCTTGAATTTATCAATCTAAATAGTACATTTTTCTCTATAAAATCTTAGTATATAAAACTATTAATAATAGGATATTATTTATTAACATTTAAAAAATTTCAATAAATAATTTATCAATAACTCTAACTCTAATCCCTGTCAGAAATATGTAATTTCGATAAAGGTGTGAATTTTTTTTTTTTTACTAATCTACTAGTATATCATCGCAAGGCTCACCAGGCCAATGGAAAGACTAACAATATCTCTAAAATAACCACAATTTAAGAAATAAAAAATTTTAGAAAAAAAAAAAAACAAATCAAAGAAAATATAAATGTCAATTAATTCTTTTACCATCATCATGATACAAATTTCAAATGATTCTTTAATAAGTTTCATTCAATAAAATTGAATTTTCTCATTAACTGTTCTCTGACAAATGTATCGAATGACTCTTAAAGATTATCCAGTTTTATGAAGTGAAATAAGCTGATTAAAGTAATTATTGTTGCTAGTAAATAACAGTTATTACAAAGTCATCATTAAAATGAAACAATTTATCGATCAATAAAAAGAAAAAAAAATGATCTTAATATCGAAATAATGAATACAAATAATTTAAAATAAATATGATGTCTTTCTATAATGCTAATGCTATGCTATTCACTTATAAATATACATTGAGAAAAAAAATTTACTTTGAACATGGAATATTTTTTTTAACTATAAAAATCAAAATTTGGAATAGTCTCATTTTGGATTCATTTCTGATGATTAATTAAAATAATCAGAAAATAATTCATTGAAAGAATACATTTGGTTGATTATATATTTTTTTTATGCACAAAAAATAATCAAATCTGTATATTTACTGGATCTAACCAGATCTGATTGATTAGATCTGCATTGATCTGGCGAGAATATATTTAATCTGATCATTTTGATTATTAGATCTGATCAAATTTTATTAGACCTCTATAATAGCTAGATCCAATTAGATCTGATTTAATTACATTTGATGAGAACTCGTTGAATTTAATTACATCTGATGTTTAGATGTGATCAGATCAATTCATATCTCTACAAATTTCATTAAATCAGACAAATGTCAAGATTTAATTATATCTGATAATTTTTTCCTGGATGCTCGATTATTTTGAATATAATTATCAGAGGATTGATTTATTCTAATGCTTCACTGAATAGATCTTTTTCTTTTCAACGATCCATGGTGGAATTCATCTGATGTCACTTGTATTTGATCTTACCATGATCTTGAATCCAAAATCAGAATCCATTTCGTTAAATTCAATAAAATATTTCCATTGCGAATATTCCAAATTTTTTTTTTTATTCATCAAATGCCCATTTTTTTGTACAAGATAAATTTATTTCTCAGTGTATTTAAAATGAATGACGTACAGTATATAAACTTGTACTACTTGAACTTGCCAATTTTTCCGTCTGAAAAAATAAGAATTAATATAAAATTCTGAAATTCCTACTGATATTTATAATGATATTAATATTAATATTCAATTTAAATTAATTAAAAATAATGAATTAACCATAAAGTATAATCTTAATACTTATTGACATAAATAATTTAATTAATAATAATCGTCACGGTGTTGTTTTACAAACTTTCTGTGATAATTATTAACAATCAATAATTAATGACTATACCCGAAAGATCATCGAAAATTGTAAAAAGCTTCATACAGATATAATATTCGAAATAAGATTTAAAAATGTATGAATTGATATTGACTTGATTGATTGAGTCATAACAGAGCAAATAAAATTAAATATCTTCTTGCAAGTCATTGTTGAAGTTTGCCCCAATAATACACATGCTTTTAACTTTGTTACGACAATTTAAGTCAACGCACTTTTATTACTATAAGAGTAATTCACGCGGTTAAGATAATGATTATGAATAATAATAAAAGTAATTATAACACTGGATTGTTGATTGTATATGTTACAGCATGGAGTAATGAGCGCCTTGTTATTTTGTATGGCTCCCATGCATTGTTTCTTAAAGTGAATATCATTATATTGACGAAATAATATGGAAATTATAAAATAATTTGAAACATATATTACTTCATTGTTTCATTTCATATCTCCTACTTATTCACTTTCTTACTAGGATCTTTTTTATCAAGATTTGCTACTTGAGTTATTTGTAGAAGTCTATTTATTCAAATTCTATTTATTTTTCTGTTAGAAAGTTAGACAGCTTATATCAATAACAGTTTTACATAATAAATATTATTTATTACCTTTATATATTTATTTTGTAACTAGACATCATCCAAGATCTTTCTTTATCCACACCTAGACTTGATGTCTGGTGCTAATTACAAGATTTTATGAAAGGTTAGTCGTTATAGGTAGATACATAGATGATCCATCTTGATGTAGCATCGAAAACAAATTATTATTATGCACACAATGAAAGCAGTTTATTGGAAAATATATATCTTGATACTTGCCAAGGAGCATGTTACTTTATCAATTTCAAGCATCATTAAAAACCTTGCTCTTGATCAATAAATAAGCTAGGGTTTTGTATAATGTTTCATTTCAGAGTCATACCAAATTTGACTGATGATTTATTTATCAACTTTGTAACTTGTTAGAAGTTAAAATAAAAACATGAGAGATGTTTTTCAAATCCTCTAACTTTCAAGTTTGCATCATGATAATGTTTGAATATATAAATCTGATAAGAATAATCTTTCAATTGTTAAAGATTTTTTTTTAAACATAAAATCAATTGAAATTATTAGACATCACTTAACCTGATAACAAGCGATTAAATTGAAAACTTTATTTATTTTTAATTGGTTGATTAAATAAGGAAAATAGATGATAAAGAAAAAGACTGAAATTAACTTTTCGAAGCAAACTAAAGACATCTTAGTTGACTCGATAAACAAATGAAATTTCATTGGAATATAAAACTTAACAGTAAATTCTATTACACTTGAAACAAATGATTCCATTTTCAACAGCCATTTAATTACAATGCTATGCTGTAGACAATTGTTGATGATCATTTAGTAAAATAGCAGACAGAGTTATTACACAATAAAATAGTCAACCTTCAAAAAAAAAAGGATAATTAATTACATAATTCGAACGAGTCAATTGCTTTGTACAAAGTATAATTTAGAAAAAATGAAAATAATATTAAAGTTTCAACCTGTAATTGTAAGTAATGAACATTCTGGGATAAAAAAAACTTCGCGTGAGCCTAGTAAATGCAGGCAATTTACAATATTGTATGACAAGTCACTATTCTCTATAAAACCTGAATCATGTGATCCCTGTTATCGATAGTATAAAGGAAATCACAATTCACATTTTACTCGAGTCTTCGTATAACGAATCAGTGAATAGTGCAAATTCATTGTGAAATTTTATAAACATACAACATGAGTGCAAATCGATCATCACAAAGCAACACAAATGTTAGTGACATTTTTAAATTAAAGAAACATTTTAATTACAATCAAACAAAAATGTTGATCAACAATTGATTTCAGTATTTAAATAGCTTCACTATCAAAGATGGAATAATAAAGGGTCAGGATTGTCCATTTTTGGAGAGAGGTCAAGTTAGCTTTGGACAATATTTGTTAGATCGGATGAGAAAGAATCGTAAACTCACTGGTCAGGTATATAAATAAAAAATCAAGATCCAATTATTAATAAATTATTAATAATTAATTAATTATTAATAAAGATTGAATGAAGTTTCTATCAGAACACATTGTGGTCTATAACTTTTAAGCCATTGAATATTTCTAAAAAAATATCTAGGTTTTAATTAAAACTGTTATTGATATTCAATTAGATTGATACAACAACTGGAAATAAAGATTCATTTGAATCTATGATAGATCGGAGTATCAGATGTGCATTATGGTTGCAAAGTGAAGGCATCAAATCAGGTGATACTATTGCAATATGTACTCACAATCACAAAGACCAAATAATTCCTGCACTTGCTTCGTTGTATATTGGAGCTGTTTTCAATCCCTGGTGGGATCATGGTTTAACCAAAGGTAATTTAAAATCAGTAATCATCTATCCAGTTCATCCAAATTAACAACAATTCATTCAATAGGATATAACAATTAAAAAAATCACTTGAAATAAATCTATCTATCAAGAATTGCATTAATCACTGCTCAGCTATTACAAGTCATCATACAAAGTCTATCTACAGATATAGCGAAACACTTTGCGAACTTGGTGGAACCAAAGGTCTTGTTTGTCAATGAAATGTGGTCCAAACTATCTGCTGAAGTTACAAAAGAAGTTAAACCTGATCTTAAGATTGTAGTCTTTGGTCATGCTCCTGGACTGGAATCGTTTGAGAAGATTATAAGCAAACCAGGAACTGTTGAAGTAGCAAACTTTAAATGTGCCACACTTCCAAGTGTTGAACATCCTGCACTTATTCTTTATACATCAGGAACCACTGGGTTACCCAAAGGTGCACTTCACTCTCAAAAGTCTCTGTTTGGTAATATAAAACTAGCGGAAGAAGTTAATAGCCGTTGTCATTCAGCATTGTGCTATTCAACGCTTTGTTGGGTTACTGGGATATTTTGTTCTTTCTTGGCAATCACAAAAGGAATGACAAGAAATATTCCCGGACCATTTGAAGAAGAAGATGCATGTAGAATTATACAAAATTACAAGGTATTATTATTATTTTTTAAATATTAATTATTTTAACAATCTCTAGAATTAAATTTACTATTTAAAGATCTATTCTATCTCAAGCTTGAAATATTCAATGATTTATGTCTCTTGGATTTATTTTTCTGAACTCTCATTAATAATTTATTATATAACTTCTCGTGATATTTGAATAATAATCTAATTGTTTTAATTAAAACTATTATATCTGAATTATTTTTTATATTATTTATAAAATTTCAATTTAATTATTAGGTCAATTTTAATTTTATAAAATACAAAATTTTTAATTAAGTAGCTCGCAAAAAATATAATTAATTGTATTATACTCAGTTAATTAGTTTCTGTCTAATTTTAATGTCCATTTAAGTATTTTATATTTATTCATTAAAATGAAGGATTATTGTTAGATGAAGAGTTGTTGGCACCGACTCATGCCAAGTGCATGGTTTTCTCATTTTCTTTCTCTTTTAATTTAACAGAAATGAACAGCTACTATATATGCAACAGATATAAGTTTTAATTAAGTGGAGTTTAAATATTTAAGTTGTGTTTGAAAATTTTTTAAATTTCATATTTATGTCTATCATAACGTGGTTATCTTGGTTTATTTTATTTAGTAAAGAATATATTCTATTTATTTTTCTATCTAATATATTTCAGTTTTTAATTAAATCTTATTATTTAAATAAGATCATTTTTTTTTTTCAATTTCAATCATTTCTATTTTTTTAAGATCGATTGGATTCTATCAGGAACTAGTATGGCAAATAGACTTCTTAAATCTGGATTCATCTCTAAATATGACGTATCATCCGTCACTGACATTCATGTGGGTGGTGCACCTCTAAAGGATGAAACACAAGTGGAGCTTCGTAAAGCATTTAAAAATGCTTCAGTCGTCCAACTCTATGGTACAATATTGAATAATTTATCAGAGTAATCATGAAAGAATTTTTTTTTAAAATAAAATTATTGATATTTATTAGACTTTTATTAATTATTTGTAGGAGCAACTGAACTAGGAGGAATAGCAACAATGCAAGATGAGCATTATAAAAAGAATTCTGTGGGAAATGTTGTGAAGAATTGTCAATTAAAAGTAATAGATCCAGAAACAAATAAAATATTAGGACCTAACCAACAGGGAGAATTATGTGCTAAAACACCACATATGATGACAGGATATTGGAGAAATCCAGAAAAAACTAAAGAAGCTATTGATCCAGAAGGTAAAAATTGGGTTACTATTGAATTTATTTTATCTAAAGTCACGTATTTTTAGGATGGTACCATACTGGAGACTTGGCCTATTACGACGAGGATGGTGCAATTTTCATTATCGAGCGACTGAAAGAGTTAATAAAGTGGAGGGGCCATCATGTGCCACCTGCAGTGATTGAAAAACTCATTCAAACACTCCCAGGAGTATCAGAAGTCGCTGTAGTTGGAGTACCTGATTTAGAAGATGACGAAAGACCGTTGGCTATTGTCACTCTTGCACCAAATTCTAAAGTAAATACAATAAAATACAAGAAATTCTCTTTCAGGTCAAACTTCTTGAACAAGAAAATTAAAATTGACTTTTATTTCAGGTGACTGAGCAGGAAATTCACCAACTTGTGGATAAGAATTTACCTGACCAAATGAGACTCAGAGCTGGTATCAAGTTCGTTGATCAAATACCTCATACTGCCTCAGGCAAAATTAGTAGAACAGAGCTCAAGGCCATAGCGAAAACTTTTTCACGAGATTAACACATATATTAACAGACAATATCTTTTCGAAAGATTTACTATAAATTTTCAATTTAGATTCATTATTAAATTAATCTTTAATACAAAGAAATTAAAATCTTTTAATCAATAATCAAATTTTTTTTCTAAAAGCACCTAGATAAAAAAATTTCACCTACTTCAACAAAGTAAAAAATGTCAATATTATTATAACTATGAGAATAGAAATAAAATATTGAATCAAATCATTTATGGAATAGTTGAAGGTCGTTGTGATTAAAGTTATTTATCCAGAACATAACAGGAAACCTTCCTTAGTCATAATTAAAGGACTAAAGTCCACCAAAGGTGAATAATTATAGCAAACTTTTTCAAATAAACTATTCAATAAAGAAAAAAGTCTATGTAAAAAATTCATTAAAATACCATTCAAGTTGGTAAATTCTATTGCAAGAATTAATAAACAATTGAGTAATTAACACTTGATAAAAATAATTATATAGATCAGAATGACTGCAACTTAAAGTGATGTGATCAATTAAATTCGAAGAAAAATAACAATTTATTGTACAAAGCGTAAAAAATTGACAACTGTTTGAAAAATCTATAATGAAATAATTGAAGTTAAAATATTAATTATTTAAACAAGCTTCATTAGTATGTATAGTCACTGCAATTATTAATGTTGAAATTAGTCTTCAGAATGACGAAACAAAATGGTAATAGAATAAAAATATAAGTGCAAGAAAATTTTTAGATTTCATTTTAATGAAATAAATTTTCTTTAGCATGAAAGACATGTTATGACGTAAGAGTATTCATTAACATCCCATCACCATTTGAGATAATTTTACCCCTTTAATTTTCATCATGCATGTACTCACGCTCTCCTTTACGATGAAGAATCCTTAAGTGTATTTCCTTCAGTGTCATTTCTGCAAGTTTCGCCTTCAATCGATGTTCTTCAGCCTATTAAAATATTAATTAAATACAATTATACTAAAATAAATATGTATGAAAAAACTATTGACTTAATTAAAAAACGAAGCTAATTTATTTTTACCTCTAATTGACGTAAAAGTTGTAATTGACGAATTACATGAATATTTTCATGTTGGAAGCCATCTCTAAGGCTTCTCTGATGGCTCGTATAATCAATTTGCATATTATATTCCCCAACTTGATTTTCAGGGTTCCTAGAATTTCTAGAATGGTTAAGCTCTGTCGACTGATCAATAGTAATATCATCATCACTTTTCTCTAGTGACTGTGAACTTTCTGATGATAACTTTGAGTCTATTTTCCCAACTAAAAAGTCATTTTCACCATCAATAAATTTTCCAGATAATTCTGGATTAGATACTTTTCTTGGTTCAAATAAAAAATATTTTCCATTCATTTTTTTTGTTTTATTCACTTGTGATTCTTCATTTTCTGTTTCATTTTCGTGAGATGATGAATTATTGTATTCAGTAGGGATCGTTTTATTGTTCATTAACACTGATACAGTTACTGAAGAACCTGAAGTGTCTGTATCCGAGATAATTACAGCAGGTTGTTCAAGTGGATCTAAAAAAATTCAAATGAAGTTACATTTATGTATTGCTTCTTAAACTTTGTGAATTGATCTCTATCTTCATTATGGTAATTATTGGAGTAAGTTTAGTGTAAAAAAATTTTAAACAAACTTACCATAAGACAAGTCAGACTCATTAGGCATAAAATACGGTTTTTCAGCATAATTTAAATGTCGACAGCTCAGCAAAGGAATGTTCTTGACTGCAGATGGATGGACGAAAAATGCATCTTCTTGTATCTAAAAATATAATAAGTTTCAATTAAATAATAATAATTATAGAATAGAGGAAATACTTTTCGCCATTTATTTCTTGCATTGTGATATTTATAATTCTGCCAGTATTTTTTTAATTGAGCAATAGATCGATCGCTAAATCCACCTTCCTGAAATTTTTTATCGATTGTCATCCAGATTTCTTTCCTTGCTAGTATTGATAAGTTTTTATCTTCTAATCTTTGACCAAATTCTCTCATTATATTCAACAAATGATCACGTTCATTTCGTGAAAATTGATTTCGCTGACGATTTAAATCTCTTGGTCCTACACATTTAGCCATTTTTATTGATTTAATAAAAGTATTTAATGTGAATTGAAAACTTTTTATGCTAAGATATAAGATGACAGTTGAAAATAACTCGGTATCATAATAAACTGAAACAACTAAACATCAAGAAGTCTACATGGAAAGTGAACGTTCAATTTTTATTTGTTTATCATGTATTTTTTATCCTGCTATTTAATTATTTTAATAAATATTCAAAGACATTAGTAGCATAATGAGGAAATAATTAATTAATTCTTGGCAACGATCTACACCTTGACCTTGAAACCTGATCAATGGCTACAGTTTTATGAGTCTAATTGTTTATAAAAATTAGAACTAAAAATCAATAAAATCTAACCGATGTTCGGCAACATCAAACTAGAATAAATCCTTTAGATGATTTTAAAAGTATCACAAGAGAGATACCAATGAAATTGCCAACTTGAGATATAACTTGATAAAACATGCTTTTACTCGGTGCTGATAAACGTTTGATTGTGATGTAGAAGGCTTTTGAATACAACAGATGGTGCTACCTACACGATTTTTCAGCATAGCTACGATGAAGCATGCTGATTTGGTTGACAATGAGAAAATCAATAATCATGTTATATGAATAATGAACAATTCCCAATGATAGCCTGAAATACTTTTGTTTTGAACTCTAGCTAAACTATCTAAAAGAGTTAAAACTCTGCAATAATAAGGTTTTCTGTTTTATTCAGGTCAGCTAGATATTTCTCGAAGGTGTGCATAGACATGATGAGGAATACTAAACTGCAAATAGATAGAATTTACTAGAGAGAACTTGATCTTCTCTAGCTATGTCAATTGTTTAAAATGAAAAAAAATATTACCTAAATCATGATATAATGGTATTTTCCTGTTCATTTCTCTTCCCATTGTCATTTTTGCAGGTGTTTCATATATTTTTTTAACCAAATTCATCTTCAATGCTGAATATTACTTAATGTCATGACAAAGCTACTCGTCGAGAATATTCGCGGAATCATTGATTTCTCGTAAAATGTAAATAACAATAGATTTTCACAGTAAACTAATAGATTTTCGAAATAAATAAGAATAAATTGTCAATAAATAATTCTACTGTACAGTGTTGATTTTTTTTTTATAAATAAAAGTTGTCAAATAAACAAATAATTTAATGATATAACATAACCATAGTACACTGATTATATGAAAAGGTTATATTTTAATCAATAAACTTTGATAATCTATTGAAATCCATTATTTTCACAAAAATAAAATGTTTTCTTTTTTTTTTCATAATACCGGCATTTTTACTCGCCTTTTGTTTGGATCTCGATGTTTCTAGATTATTCGCTGGATTTCCGACTTCCAAGCAACTGCGCAGTCAATTGATAGGTTAGATTCAGCGAAAATTTTTACTATTTGACTTTTTCAAATACACATTTACATTATTATAGTAATTAAAAATTAAAAAATTAGTATTAGTGACCACTAATAACTTTATTTTTTATTTTCACACTAGAAAAAGGTCTGAAAAGATATTTTCTTGATAGAATATTCTAGAAACTGTGACGTACTTCCGCTAGCCGGCTTCTCGAACATTCGTCAGTTCATAAAAGCGAGCGCCGCGCGCAATGCGGGAATAGTTGAAAAAGAAACACAAAGCGGTAAACTTCAAAGCGACTGGAGACTAAGTCTCTGCGAATCTTTTTAAAGCGACTACTTTCTGTTAAATAAATTCATCCAAACTGACGGTGCTAAGTGAAGAATTAAATAACCTTAATATTTCTGACAACAAGCATCAGGAAAAGGACAAAATGCCAGAAGACGTAGCTATGGCTGAATCCGAGGAGGTGGAGACTTTCGCCTTCCAGGCAGAAATTGCCCAGTTGATGAGCTTGATCATCAACACATTCTACTCCAACAAGGAAATCTTCCTCCGAGAATTGATCTCCAACTCATCTGATGTAAGTAATAGAATTTTTTTGATGTGAATTATAAACGTGGTTGGCAAAAATCAATAGGTTCTCTTTTTATTAATTATTTAAATTATTTATTAATAGTGAATAATTAAATTATTTCAATCATGTCATTCCATTTTAAATAGTTTTATTAGTATTGATTATTTTTTTTTCAAGACAACATTTAAAATGCATAGGTTATAATCAATTAATAACAGTTGAAATTCATGTGATTTTTTTTAGTTTAAATTTTATAATTTAAAGCAAGAATATTTATTAAAAAAATTTTCAATCAATTAATATTTTTTTTTTTTCAACAGGCTCTCGACAAAATTCGATATGAATCGCTCACTGATCCATCCAAGCTCGACAGCTGCAAGGAACTGTTCATTAAAATCATTCCCAACAAGAATGATCGTACTCTCACCATCATTGACAGGTAAATAATTCTGATTTTATTTAATATGCAATAAAAAAAATTTTTTTTTTTGAGTTAATGAATTAATTAATGAGTTATCTTGAAATAAGCAATGATTCTAATTCAATTGTTTTATAATTACAGCGGTATTGGTATGACCAAAGCTGATCTCGTTAACAACTTGGGAACAATCGCCAAATCCGGCACAAAGGCCTTCATGGAAGCTTTGCAAGCTGGTGCAGACATCTCGATGATTGGACAGTTCGGTGTGGGTTTCTACTCGGCCTACCTTGTAGCTGACAAAGTATCAGTTGTTTCAAAACACAATGATGATGAACAATATCTCTGGGAATCATCTGCTGGAGGTTCATTCACTGTTCGACCTGATACTGGTGAACGGTTAGGACGTGGTACTAAGATTGTATTACACATTAAAGAAGATCAAACTGAATTCTTAGAAGAATCCAAGATCAAGGAAGTTGTCAAGAAGCATTCTCAATTCATTGGATACCCAATTAAATTGGTCGTTGAAAAAGAGAGAGATAAGGAATTAAGTGAAGATGAAGAAGAAGAGCCCGCTAAAGATGCTGGTGAAAATGAAGATGACAAACCCAAAATCGAAGATGTTGGGGAAGAAGATGAGGATGAAGACAAGGAGAAGAAAAAGAAGAAGAAGAAGACCATCAAAGAAAAGTATACTGAAGATGAAGAATTGAACAAAACTAAACCAATCTGGACCAGAAATCCTGATGACATCACTCAGGAAGAATATGGTGAATTCTACAAGAGCTTGACAAACGATTGGGAAGATCATTTGGCTGTGAAACACTTCTCTGTTGAAGGTCAACTTGAATTCAGAGCTCTTCTCTTCATCCCACGTAGAGCTCCATTCGATCTCTTTGAAAATAAGAAGAGAAAGAACAACATCAAACTCTACGTTCGACGAGTATTCATCATGGACAACTGCGAGGAGATTATTCCTGAATATTTGAACTTCATCAAGGGTGTAGTTGACAGCGAAGATCTTCCATTAAACATCTCTCGTGAAATGCTTCAACAAAACAAGATTCTTAAAGTCATCCGTAAGAATCTTGTGAAAAAATGCTTAGAGCTCTTTGAAGAATTATCTGAAGACAAAGAGAACTACAAGAAATGTTACGAACAATTCTCAAAGAACTTGAAATTGGGTATCCATGAAGACAGCACTAACAGGAAGAAGTTAGCAGAACTTTTGAGATATCATACATCAGCATCTGGTGAGGAGATGTGCTCATTGAAGGACTACGTAGGTAGAATGAAGGAAAATCAGAAACACATCTACTTTATCACTGGTGAAAGCAAAGAACAAGTAGCCAACAGCTCATTCGTCGAGAGGGTTAAGAAACGTGGTTTCGAAGTCATCTACATGACTGAGCCAATTGATGAATATGTAGTCCAACAACTCAAAGAATTTGATGGCAAACAACTCGTCTCAGTTACAAAAGAAGGTTTAGAACTTCCAGAAACTGAAGAAGAGAAGAAAAAGAGAGAAGAAGACAAAGCCAAGTTTGAAAATCTCTGCAAAGTTATGAAAGACATCTTAGACAAGAAAGTAGAGAAAGTTGTTGTATCCAACAGGCTGGTTGACTCACCTTGCTGTATTGTTACATCTCAGTACGGTTGGACTGCTAACATGGAAAGAATCATGAAAGCTCAGGCCCTCCGAGATACATCAACAATGGGCTACATGGCAGCTAAGAAACATCTTGAAATTAATCCAGATCATCCAATCATTGAAAACCTCAGGCAAAAAGCTGAAGCTGACAAACATGACAAATCTGTTAAAGACTTAGTCATGCTTCTATTCGAGACTTCTCTCATGTCATCAGGATTTGCTTTGGAAGATCCTCAAGTCCATGCTCTGAGAATTTACAGGATGATCAAATTGGGTCTTGGCCTCGACGATGAAGATGTGCCAATGGAAGAAATCAAAACTGAAGGCGATGTACCACCACTAGAAGAGGCAAATGAGGAAGCATCAAGGATGGAAGAAGTTGACTAAGAGCCTTCATCACATTGTCAGTTAAAATAATACCCAAAGACTTAGAACATTTTTTTATGAGACTGTTCAAAAATCATTTGTGTGTTGAGTACCAATCTGATTCGGCAGGAGACGAGAGAGAATTATTTATTTAACATCAAATGGTTTTTTTTGTATAACTTAATCTGCCGTGACTTCAATTTATTATTAGTTTTCATTTTTTTAACTTTGATAAGTATTAGTTTTTTAAAATAATGTCATGTTTTGAGCAGGGCATTCTTCACGTTCGTCGATCCATCATTCCATATATCATTAATATAATTATCATGAGAATGAGTGTACAAATGCTGTAAAGATCACGAATACTCTAGACTAATAAATGAAAATTAATATCCACAAATACTGTCTATTTTATTCTATAATTACCTTTAACAAAATTATGTCTACATCTAGATATATTATAAATTATTTAATTCTAAAATTATTTGAAAGAATTTCGCTAATAATTTGAATTTTAAAAAAATATTTAAGAATTTTAATTTTCTTTATTATATTAAGAGTCGTTTAAAAATAATTTATTATGAATATAAATGAAGTAATACATTACTTTTCTATAAATACAATTTAAAATACTTTATAATTCCCGCGATATGCGCAGTTGACAATTTCTAACCTCCAATCAAATTGCTCGTTATAATACAACGTCATTCGCAGTTTTGTGTTTCTAAAGTGTAGATACGTTTCGCGAGCGGGATAATATTTCTTGAAAAAAGTAATTATTATAACAATAAATCAAAGTCATTAGCTTTTAAATATTTAAATTTGTTCGATAATGATAGAATTAATTAATAATAACGATGTATCAACGTGTTTTTTGTAATTAATTACTGGTGAATTTGATTGGCGTATGGCGTGGAGACAAAACAATAGCTGCAGCTTAAATAATTGATCGTGAAATGTAAGAAATAATAATTATTCATTACTTATTATATAATCAATATTACTATAAAGTTGTCAAAATTAATTTTTGAGGATATGTGAGTATGATTAGGTCAGCATTTATATAAAAATATTTTTTTCAGAAAACTGCGCAGTAATTTGTTGGTCAATAATTTTCAAACCATGTTGTTTACAAGTTCTCTGTAAGGCGGCATTGTTAACGATTCCCGCCATTTCGTCATTCGTCACGCAATTGTCGTATCAACGCCACGTGTCTCTCGATTTTCTTTTATTACTCTGAAAGTACAAATTGTTTGAACTTAATTTCAACATTATTTGTATTAATTGATGTGTTTAATACTTCCAATGGTACTTCATGAAACCATCATCCACTATTACAACATAAAATTCAAGAAAGCGGTAATCAAGAAGCATCTGGAAAATTCGATGAACATCTTCCATCGCAGTCACTCATCTTTGTGTTTACCATGGTATTCGAGTCTTAATTTTCTACGAATCAGAATTCTGAGGTAAGTAAGAAAAAATTATTTTTCTATTCTGTCAATATTATTTGAAATAAGGTTATGATATACATGCAATAATTTTACGTATGAATAAATAACAAACGACAAAAAAGATAAATTATACTTTTATTTGCATAATGGAATAAATGTTAGTAATTAATGATATTTTTATAATAAATATTCCAGCGATAACTAAAAGAGACAATTATTTAAATAATTGCTCAAAGTATTTTTTTATCATAAAAATAAAACAAAAATTTTACAGACTTTACAAAATCGATAATAGGTACATAGTTTCTTTTTTATCCGATAGATAGCGTTTCTTTATCACTAGAAGTTGATAATAGTTATCTTGAAATGATAAAGTAGAAATTATTAATTATCTTCTAGCTCATATTTGAAACTAATTTTTTTTAATTTCCAATTTTTTATTTTAAATATTTTGTTGATCCAATTTCAACTAATATTTCATTTATTTATAATTTTTTGTAAATATTTAACCTAAATGAAATTTTTATGTACATGAAAAAAATTCAGTTCACCATTTAAATGCAATCTATGTACATATTTTCATTATTTACACTGAACATTGATGGGAAAATAAACCCATCACTTTTAATTGATTTAAAACAGGTCAAGGATCGTTTTGATTTAATGAATACCTGTTCGATCTCCACTCGACAGGATTAGAATTTATCCTTCGATATGTTTCATAGACACCTATTATATCCTATCTATCCTATCAAGTTCCTGTTTCTCATCGACGAGAGTAAAAGTAACTAAACGAAACGTCCCTGAAAACCGAAAGTATAAATTATAAACAGGCCAGGTGATAGTTGTAAGTTAGAGTTGGCGAGAATGAGGCCCTGACAAATGTCTTTGTAAGTGGTTTAGAAAACCCGTTAGGTTAACAGTCGTTTATTATTAATGTACGTCACCTGTAAGTCATTGTGAATCCCCAAGACAGACTTGAAGAGTTACTCCTTTCACTGTCCAAAAATAGTCTACAACATCTTAATAAAATAAACGACTAAGTGAAAAATCTTTTTTTATCCAAGATATTAAATAATTAATCTTAACAATTAATAAATCACTTATTCATTTATAAAACCACAATAGAACACGTGTAAATGTTCATAGCTATAATTATCATAACAATAAACAGAAAACAAAGCAATTTAGTACGTCCTATTTTTTTTTTTTTCTTTGTGTAAATATGAAGGAATAGAAGAGAAAAATATTTATTTCAGTAGTTCTACATAGAATTAAGCTTCTAGTCTCATCAAAACAATTTTTTTCTCTCAAAGGAATTTTTATTTATCAAAAAAAAAAAAAACAAAAATATTCAAGTAATCATTACAAGTTTTGAATTAATTAAGACATAACAAATAAAGACTGAAAATGAAATTAAATAATATATTTAATTCGTGAAAATAAAAACTGGATATAATGACAAAAAAAAAAAGGTACAAAGAAACTTGGGAATTCTTGATAAATGTTCTACACATGTTCTACTGCTTCTGCTTGTTTTTTTTGTAACATTTTTAATACTCAATTGTCATTATAATGCATAAACAATGATTAACATATTATTATCAATTTAAATTGCAACATAAAATGTTTCCAGACTTACAATTACTTTTATCAGTATTACATTTTATACAATAATAATTATGTAATATTTTTTTATTTTATAAATCAGCTTGATTAAATATTTATAAAAATCACAATATGCAGTATTCTGTAACTACAATTAATAATTTTTAACTCATTAATAACATCTAAATACGAGTGAGTACATGAGCTAAGGTTGTTTGTCTTTGTTGAAAAAAAAAAGTACTGTAAAAAAACAATTCCAGGTGAACATTTCAAAGCTGAAGAAAAAATCAGGAAATACCTGAACTTCAAACAGCAGCAGTAAAACATGTGTCGCACGCATTAGAAAAATGTTTAACTGATAATATCATGAATAAATGAAGGCAACAAATAAAGTTATAACTCGTCTACCCTTTTATTCTTTCTCAGATCACATAATTTTTTATGATTGGTTTATGGTTCATGTAGACTATGTATGATTTTTGGTCTTTGTTTTTATTCTCAAAAGCTCAGAGCTGAGAAAAATGAACACAAAGAGAGTTAAGCAGTGAGAAAGAGGGAAAGAGAGAAGAAGAAGAAAAAAGAGAGAAGTGGATAGTGAATTTTGTGGGAGCGTTTCGGCTTCTCTCAGCAAAGCGGCCATTTTGATTTTGCGTGATGTCACGACGTGGCCTACTTTGGGCCACTCCACGTGCACGGGTCATCGACCTCTAGCTGCTGCTCTCCGTCCTACTCTCTATCTTATTCCCCTTCCATCTTTCTTACTCACAAGCCTTCGTCTCTTTCAACATGGGCGTTTCTTTTGTATGTTTTACCAACCTATTTCCCTGTGGTTATCTATAATGTACAATCCAAAGAACCTTAGATCATTAACCCACACTTTTATCTCATTTATTTGTTTGATTTTTATTAATTCATTTACCGCTTTATTTCTTTCTATAAACGATATATGTTTAATCGAAGAAATAATCCAACGTTATCATGATGTAAAGGCAGTCAATAAGCGCTAAGGTCATGTGCACAAACCTGTGAATTGTTGAATAAAAAGCAGGAGACTGAGGTTGAGGATAAGGTCAATAGAAAATACTTTTTTGTCATTTATAATTTAATTATAATTAATATTTTTTTATAGTACTTTTTATTATCTCCTCAAAAAAAAAAAAACTTGAGAAAAAATGTGAAAATCATCTTCATCAGCTTCTTAAAAATCCTCATCTATTAATCATCTATTATTTATTAGAAAATTTCTTTTCTCTATTTTATTGATCTTTTATTCAATGGAAATAAAGAAAAGTTCATCTATCAAAAATAAAAATGATTAATAATATTTATTACATTACATAAATTGAATAAAAATTTATTCGACAGTAAATAACTATTAAAAAGTATTTTTTTTTTTCTATTATTATCATCTAGGATGTTTAATTTTTTTATTTATTTTTAAATCATGGATTTAAATAGATTAAGACAGTGAAAAAATTAATAAAATTAATGAATTAATTTTAAATGAATCAACTGATATTTTTGCATAAAATGAGTTGTCAATAATATGGAGGTTTTTTTTTTTAGTTCTTAATTAAAGTTCTGTGTCATAGGATATAGAAAAGTAGTTTATCACATTAGGATCGAGCTCACGGGCCACTGCAGACATATAATAAGAGGAGCTTAATAAAATGAAAAAATAAAAATTGGGGAGTGGGGTTTTGGGTCGATAGAAGGTTTGATCTACTAACCTAGATCCCGGCGGTCTACAGACTGCAGCAGCCTCGATAGATCCATTCCCTTACGACGACCTAGAAAACCACCCCCAGGGGGGGTAATTTTGCATCCCTGTTGACCCAATTTATATAATAAAATCTATGTCTTACATCATTCTAGTTTTCAAGTATCTGAAAGTATCTAAAAATATGACACATACTATTTCTTCATGTTCATTAGACGAGATAATAATTGCTCATCGCTTTGAAACGAGATCAAAGCTGATTTTTATGTCGCAAAATTCTCCAGATGGCTGAAAATAATCGATAGATAGCGTTCAAGTTATGTATTCAATGTAATATCGTGTACAAACATACTTCTATGTAAATAAACTATAAACTTATCGTTTCTTTGCATAATGTATTGATAGATATGTATTGATTTGATAATATACATGCTATGAATTATCTTAAAAAAAATTATCGCTCTATTCAGAGTGGATCAAAGACTATTGTAAAACGTCAGAAAAATTATCAAATTTTTGCGAGCATTTTTTTACTTTGTGTTAAAAAAAATAGTAGTCATATGTAATAAGTCTACATTAAAACAGTTGTAATTAGTTGTGTTTGAATTTTTGTTCTCAATAGAATGAAAATCAGATGAAGAAGAGAAAATCAGAATCATAACTAGTATTTTTTGGTTTTTATGTTTTAAATAATTGCAACAATAGTACCTAACCTCAAATCACCTCGAATTTTTCTCGTCAAACTGTGAATTTTTTATTTGTTTTTTTCACGTAAAAAATATATAAGAATATTTAGAAAAATGGTATACATATCGGAAAAGAAAGATTTATAATACAAGTGCAATAATAATTGTAGAAAAAAAAATTTTTAGTGAATTTCGAGGTGTCATGGCGAATGTACTTGTTGTGCGCCCTCTACTGAAAAATTATTTATTCTACAATTATTGTTGCACTTGTATTATAAATCTTTCTTTTCCGATGTGTATACCACTTTTATAAATATTCCTAAATATTTTTTGCGTGAAAAAAACAAATAAAAAATGCACAATTTGACGAGAAAAATTTAAAGTGATTTGGGGTTAGTAAAGCCCAGCCTTAAAAATTAGATCTAAAAATGCTGGTTGAATTTTCAAAATTTACCTACTGTAGGTAATTTTCAAAAACCAAATAATTGTTTTCTAAGCAATCTTTAATAAAAATTTTATTGAAAAATTAGTAATTATCGATAATTTTATTAATAAAAATTAAAGAATGGCACATTTTATATTAAAATATGGATTAAATTGAAAAAAAATGTTAAAATTATAAATATATTGCTGAGCAGAATTTTAATTGAAAAAGTTCCTTTAAATTCAGTCAAACACTTGATCTAAAAAAATCAGGTTAGATAAAATTTGTGCTGAAAGCATTCAGTTTAATTATTGGAGTTAAAAGTAATAGAATATCTCATATATAAAATTACATTTTTTATTTCAATAGTAAATTTATAGATATTTTTAAATGAAATCATGATAATTTTGATAATAAATGATCTCTTAAATCTTCTAGGAATTATCATGATTCTCAATATTTTATCTAAAATAATTTACAGCTTTCCATTTCGTGTAAAGTACAGAAATTTTAAGTGAACTATAGTGTGTAGATAATATTTTTCATTTTTCTACTTATTTTTTTTAATTTTTATTTT